TGATGGCGTCTGAAGTGCTTTCCTCATTACAGTGCTTTTCTCATCGCTTGTTCTATTCGAGCCAATATAACCGAAAAGCATGATGATACTGGTGGTGCGACGGGGAGTCCCCCTCGTCCTGGTGTGGGTAAATTAGAATAGGGCACTAAAACACCTGGATGTGTTGAGATAATGAGTTCGGTAATGGTTTTGACATTTCCGGGAGCCCAGATTCCCCAGCGGGAACGTGAGGGAGAGAGATGCTGAGGTGATTATGGGCCAATCGGCGGAGGGCTGCTACAGAAAAGAGCCTTTTAGTATTCATAAGAAAAAAAAAAATAGACATCTAAAGCGCATTCATATATTCATGGCACTCCTACTCGTGTTTTAATCTGGAGTACAGACACCGACAAAACAGCTCTAAAAGCACCCATTCTGTAGGGCCGTAATGCACGAGTATGGAAATCATTTAGTAGCATGGTATTGAGGCATTGCTTTTTTGTGAGAAGCATAAAAGAGGATCTGCACGCTAATGCAACTCGTTATTGGCAAAAGTTGTTCATTCTCGTCAAGTTTCTAGTTTCTAGGAGATTAAAGTTGAAAGGAAGAGCTGTTTTAAAGGAGTGGTTCTTTTTACAAAAAATCCATGTTATTTTTCATAATTATGGACCCTTGTGTTTCTTAAAACTGCTTTTAATCCATTGAATCCTGTCTGTGTTTGCATTTAAAGAAAATAAATGAGTTACTGTTTCATACTAATTCATTAACATTACAATTAAAGGTGCAATATGGTGGTAAAACTAGATGTTGGAGTCATATATATATATATATATATATATATATATATATATATATATATATATATATATATATATATATATATATATATATATATATATATATATATATATATATATATATATATATATTAGGGATGTAACAATATTGTAAATATCATCATACCGCAATAGCAATTTCTTTCAATATTACCGTGGGTGTGACTCAATAAAATCATAGGTCTTTTGGTGAAAAGTTTGCTCAGGTGAATGTAGCGAATGGGAGGTAGCGGAAACTACAATTTTCATTAGCCCAGGCATGGCCATCATCCTTTGCGCTACAGATCCAGTAATGCAGAAATGGAGGGTGCTGCTAGTAGCAGCAAACAAAAAGAGCTAAAACCTAAGACCTAAAGCGGGTTTTAAATCAGATGTGTGGAAGCATTTCAGTTTCACTCTGAAAAAAAACAAGAAAGAAGAAAAGGTGACAGAAAAAAGGGTATGCAGGCACTGCCAGACTGTGCTGAAATACAAGTCGGGGAATACGACTAACATGATGGGGATTCTTTTAGTCAAGTGGACAGCAGAACACAGCACACTGCTCAGATTGATGGAGACATTGACTTGTACCACCAAAAGACCTCTATCTCACTCATGGCTTGTCCTTTCGAGTGTTTTTTTCTTTTTTTTACATGGTTTAATATTTTTTGTTATTAAAATTTAATAATTTAAGTTCCTGTTTGAAAGTTTACAGATAGATAATTTGTATGTCATTGATCTGTTCAGTGTTAAGGTAACCTGAACATTCTAGCACTTTTTTGAGTCTCTTCAATAGTTTTGTTTTTCCTTTAAATGATTCAATAAATACTGTACCGTGCCATTCAAACCGGGGTATTACCGTATCGTGAAATTTTGATACCGTTACATCCCTTTTATATATATGTATATTATGTGTTAACTTAACGCACACGTTGCCAGATTGATGACACCAACTAGGGCTGCATGATATGGAAAAATCTGATATTGCAATATTTGATTTGTCTGCAATATACAGTTAGGTTCATAAATATTTGGACATTAAACCAATTCTAAAAAAAAAATTGGTCCTATACACCAACACAATGGATTTGGAAGGACACAAACAATATGTGCTTTAACTACAGACAGTGAGCTTTAATTTGAGGGTATTTACATCCAAATCAGGTGAACGCTGTAGGAATTACAACAGTTTGCATATGTGCCTCCCACTTGTTAAGGGTCCAAACGTAATTGAACAGAATAATAATCATAAATCAAACTTTCATTTTTTAATACTTGGTTGCAAATTCTTAGCAACCAATTACAGCCTTGAAGCCTAAAACACATAGACCTCACCAGATGATGGGTTTCATCCCTTGTGGTGCTCTGCCAGACCTGTATGCATTTTCCCTTCAGTTTTGTCTTCAGCAAGTGAAATGCATGCTCAATCAGATTCAGTTCACGTGATTGACTTGGTCATTGCATAACATTCTACTTATTTCCCTTTAACAACTCTTTGGTTTCTTTCGCAGTTTGCTTTTGGGTCAGAATGAAGGGGTTTTCTTTAAAACAAAACAAAATTGTTTGCCAATGGCATGAGTAAAATAATCTTATTTTTACTGTAGACTAGGACAATAAATATGTTCACTTATCATGTTTCATAAATATCTGCATATATATTATAATGTTTTATGCTTTAGATGAGTGAAAAGCACCTTACAGCGCCTTTAACAGTTTTAAGTCATGGGTTATTTCATTATTTATTTAGAGAAAAGAATATGTTCTTGCTAATATTCCTCTTGAATGCATTAAACTACACACACTTCAACAACAATTAATTTGCAAAAAAAAAATAATAATAATAATAATAAAAATTATTAGAGCAATGCACAATAAAAGGACACGGATAATGGAATTTCATAAAACAGAGTTATTTTTTCAAAAACTCTGTTCCTTTCATCTGTCTGTTCAAATTTAGTTGAAGGAAACAAAGGGTGCTTTTGAAGGAGCTTGCCAATTGAAGCAGTCTATTTAATTTAGCATATGAATTGGGATGCAGCTATAGTAACACTACATTCAAATCACATGCGTCCCTATATAGAATGAATGTGTACATAAGGGAAGTAGTATGTCTGAGTTCATAGTTTTGAAAAAAAAAAAAAAAAACAATAGTTAAGAAGTACTTGGTAAACAGGCCCCACATAGAATCTGTGCATGCATAAATCTGCATATTTTTGAGCCTATCGAGTCATTAATCATTTACTTATGCATATATTTATTCAGTTAAGTGGCTGTATTCCTTTATATGAGAGAACAGTTGTAGCTTTGTTTTCCCAAGCAAATTATTCTAATTTAATTTTGATTGAATTGTATATTATTTCATATGTTATTTTTGTGTTTGCTTGTCTGTTTTTTTTAGCTCCTACACTGTAAAAATTAATTGTAAAAAGCTTATCGTATTTGGTGATTTATGTTTGTTTTTTTGCCCTATTTTTACTTATTTAATACTCTTAATATTTCCTGCAAAAACTTCTGATGTTAAAAAGATTGAAAAGTGACTTTTGGTGACATTTTTTAATAGTTTGAAGTTTTATATTGTCTGTGCTTTTACAGACTTGATTCTCTTATTAAAAGAAATATCTTGTCTCAATCTACAAACATGCCATTAAAAGTCACTTTGACTTAAACTGCAGTGTTAAATTTTCAACATCAAAAGTCGACAGAGCAGAGATCGAGCTCCCATAATGCCATTTACTACCTTAAATTAATAGAAAACACCATGTGAACCACAAAATATAGAACATGAAATTAACAAATTTCACAATCAAATATGCTCCAAATCCTACCCCATGAAAACCACATATTTTATTTTTAAATCTGCACAAAAATAGGAAAAATAAAATCCTGATTCTATCTGCTGATAACTTACTGCTACTACTAATTCTGAAGTAGTCATTAGAGATACAGTACAATAAAGGTTTTATCCCTATCCCGAGGCAGAGGAGGCATCATATGATGGAAAGCAGCGACACGTGTTGTAGAATCTCAGAATGTCATTCACACTACCCAGATTCATACTATACAGAATATACTTATTTTAACAGTCAGGAAGTAAGTTCAACTTTCTCAAGTAATATGCAATTTTGGATCTGTGTTCAGTGTTCGCAAACTCATGCATAAAACCACACATTCACATTTTACTCCATTCATTCATTCATTCATTCATTCATTCATTCATTCATTCATTCATTCATTCATTCATTCATTTATTCCTTTAGCTTAGTCTCTAATTCAGAGATTACCAGAGCAAAATGAACCACGAAGATATGTTTTACACAGCGATTGCCCTTTCAGCTGGAACTCAGCATTGGGAAACACCCATACACACACATTCACACACACACACGCACACACACAGACACACACTTATACACGGACATGGACAATTTAATTTATTTATATATCCATATGAGGTACCATTATCCGTAATGGTACCTTAAAGGTACTTTTTAGGTATATTTGTGCACTAATAAGCACCTTTGAGGTACCCCTGTGGACCATGTGGGTACAAATAAAAATTATTTTGAAAAGGTACTGCAACAGTGACTGCTGTACCTTTATTTCTGAGAGTGTACATGAACACGGGAAGAACATGCAAACTCCACACTGAAATACCAACTGGTCCAGCCGAGGCTCGCACCAGCAACCTTTTACTGTGAGGTGACAGTGCTAACCTCTGAGTATACCTCTGAATATATTTGTTTATGTTGTGTAAACGGGAGACGCTCAGAGGCATTGCAAATGTTGCCGCAGAGTGAATAGACTTTGCTCAAAAGGGACTTTGTTGAAATATTGCATACACAGATATAAGCTGACGCAATCATCAAACATGGACCGCATATAAATCAAAACTGCCTAACGTTACTGAATGAAATGTTGAGCTCAAAAAAGGAATATAACTGTGCAAGTTAGGATGATGGACTTCATATTCTCTGTCTATGCTTTGATCAGTTGTACACAAGTGTAACTTTTTTGTTAGTGGGGGTTTTCATTTTAAACCAGATACAAACTTTCTTTTGATATTTTGCATGTTCAAATATTCATACAACATAAGATTCAAGGGATCATGAAAATATAGTAACAGTCATCCAACATGTTAGTGCAGTTTTCAATTAATTTTATTAGTTCATTATTGAAACTAATCACTTTTCATTTTATCTTTGCCAGTATGTTGAGGCCATCAGCAGTAAACAGAGTGAGCTGGATACCTTCATTGCAGAGGGCTACAAAACAGCGCTTTCAGAGGAACGTAGGAGATACTGTTTCCTGGTGGACCGCCAATGCGCTGTAGCCAAGAACAGCAGCGCCTACCATGGCAAGGTGAGACCCAGATGCTTTTTTTTTTCCCTTCACCGTAAAAGATAGACAGCATCGCCAGCCATGTACTTTCACAGTCTCTCCTGTTATGTGGCCTGAAGACAGCAGCAGTTGCCATGGCAATCCCCAAAGATCACCCCTCACAACCGTCTCCATTGGGCACAGTTTGTTTGTGCTTATTGCGAAGATGAGATTTATTCTCTCCTGCAATTGTCTGTGTTCCAAAAGTGCTGTGAAGTAATGCACACCATTTCTGACATATCAATTATCCGTAATGGCGGAGCCACATCCTTACAGTAAAACCAAGTTATTGTAACTCCAGATTGTGGGAGGAGCAGTTATTAACATCTGCAGGTGGTCCCATCCCATATGCAGTATACTTAAATGCACCTTTTTACATCTGAAAACTTGTGTGCGTGTGCAGATTTATTTGGTTTGCTATATGAGGACCAAAAATTGTGTAATGATATGGAAATAACTGCATTAAGGTGGTTTATGAGGACACATACTGTGTCAAATTCAAATTTTGCCACAGGTTTTCTGTGAGGGTTTATTTTAAAGGTAGGGCTAGAATTAAGCAATATAACAAACAGTTTTTACAGAACAAAATACATTGCACTTATTCAGAGTCCTCATAAATCATATATACAGATGTTTTTGTGGCGGAGAGATGTTTGCACAAGGCTATTTTGTTTAATATATCATTGTATAACTTGCTAAACTGTAAACCCTGATCATGGACTAGGCGTGCGTTGTGCTGTCGTCTTCTGGGAGCGTAGTTGAAGCTATAGGGAGGGGTGGAGAGAAGCCTTGCATTTTCAAGAACATCCTGTCCAGTAGCTAATCAGCACGGAGGCGTGTGTGGGAAGAGTTCAGAAAGGGCGCGCTGAAGAGGGAGAGCGAGCGAGTGTGGTAGAATCAGAAGCCGTGAGTGTGTTGTGTGCGTGAGTCACCAGGAGTGGGCGGTAGAACGGAGACGAAAGCCCCTCACCCACACTGCAGAGCGCTGTAGAGTAAGTGGTCCGAGATCTGAGAGACCTGTTAGCACTTGCTCTGCACATCATCAACAGTGAACTACTATCACCATTTGCATTTCAGGGCCACTTGAAATCAGGTTGAGGATGGCTTAAAGTCATAGTCTGAGGCACCTTTTACACTTGTGCAATTTCAATTTTAAAATCTAGTTTAGTTACAGTTGTCTGGTGTCAGTTCATCTAAAAAAAATTAGCATTTCAAAACCAAGACCTCATTTTAGTTTGGAAACCCCCGTGTTCTATTTTAGTATATATTTCTGTATGGACTGAAATGCAAAATTATATATATTTTTCCCCCTTAATAGTCTTCTTGATTATCTGTTGCACAGCATCACTGCCAATTAAAAAACAAACAAAAAGCGCTCTGAGGTAAGCTCAAATGTATGGTCGGTGCTCTTTGGGTAAGGGATTCATCAAAACACCAACAAAGATCAGTCCAAGGCACTCGAAAATAGTGAAAAATTGAAAAGCCTTTATTCACATGGCTAAATCTCTAAAAACCTACGCGTTTCGGCAGGAGTCTGCCTTCATCAGGGTAACAGTGATCAGGTGCGTCTAGAGTCTCTTTTGAGTACCACGGTCACATGACTCATTTAAACATCTCAAATGGCACTCAAATAATTTAACAAGCAAAGTCTACACAAGATACACAAACACCCACTTGCATATATGGGGAGAAAAGAGAGAGAGAAAAAAAGAAAGATATATATATATATACAAATACATACATCAATGTATAATGATAATCTGTAAAGCATCTATAGAAAAACTCATCCATTCATTCATTTTCCTATCGGCTTATTCCCCCCACCAATCCACTTTTTTTATCACTGCCAATTACTTTGGCTAATGCTTGGCACAGCTGAGAGTCTTCCTTTCACAACTCAGCATTGAGAGTGCAACCACCAGTGCTGGGAAATACCCAAACAACCCACACACACTCGAGAATTTCTTAAACACAAATGAAAAATGCTAGCCTGGACAAGAAGTGTTTCCATTGTAAAACGCGGATAAAACAAAAATGCATGAGTGCATTACATGTGCCTCCCTACCTCGCAGGGCGATCGTTATAGCTTCCTATAAGCCTTTGGTCTGATTTTGGTTCCCTTAAAGCTATTTCTACCCCCTCTATTTGTATTTCCTAATCATGAAATTAATAGTAGAGTCAAATTTAGATGGATAGCACTTTTAAAAGCAGCAGAATTGCGTCAGTGTTTTACAAGAAAACATGGTACATAAAATCAATAATAAAAGCATGCATCATATGAAAAAAGAAAGAAAAAAAGAGAAATAGATGTACAAAACTAAAGCTGATCTTAATCAAAAGCCAGCAAGAGCAAAAAGTTTCGAGAGCAGTTTTAAAACTGGTCAGTAAATCTCATATAGTCACAGGCAAACTATTCCAATATTTGGGAGGTGGAGCTGAAAAATCTTGACCAACCTTAATTAAGAGGCCACGAAACATCAAAACACATTTTTTGAGCTGTTGACAGTCGTATATGTGTCCCACACTGCTAAAAACACTATTAGGACACATATATTTCACTAAAAAGTGAAAATAATTTATTTTTGTGTTATTTCGAGCAAATTTGTACATCCAGTTTTAAAAGAATTTTTGAAGCTGCGTCACGGTCATGAGAGCTTAGCATGTATTCCAGCGTGTAGACATGACGTCTGTACCTGGGAGTTCCTTATTACGTCTCTAAGTGTGTTTCATTCATTCATGAGTAAGACTTGGTTCAAACCAATCAGCGTGCTCTTATGTATGCGGTGCATACATAATAGAGCACGCTGTATTATGCAGCGTGGTAACTGATTTTACCAGTTACAGTATTTAGACTGCAGAGAGACACCACATTGTGTAGCCAAGTGGGAGAACATCAATTGTTTGGAGATACGGGTCGTCAGTGTTGCGTTTATAATTTGCTGCAGTGAATTTTTTATTTTTTTTCATTTTCCATCTATGAGAGCGTAGCTGGACACATGTAGAGTACAATGCATGTGACGCGCCATAGAAATACTTGTCTAAGGAACATTGTTTACCCGAGAGCTTTTCTCGTCTGGAACGTGTAAATGTGTAGGCACCACATTCGACACATTTGACCTTTGGAGCATGTAAAAAATCAGGCCACTAATGGTTTTTGGTACAAGTCCAGATAAAGCCCTTAAATTAAATTTTTAATTTTACAGCAAGCGAATGTAAAGATGCAAGAGAAGCCCAACTACAGCATTATAAATAAATGGTTGTTTGAGGCAGGCCACAGTAAAGGGTATTACAGTAATTTAGGCATGATGTTATAAAAGCTTGGGTTTCAGTCTCCAAACCTCTGTGGGGCTGAAACTGTTTCAATTTAGCAATGGATCTCAGGTGGAAGAAACTCTTTACCACTCTGCTAATTTGTTTCTCGTAACTGAGAATGAATGAAATGCCATCCGGAGATGTATTATATGTGTTTGAACCCTGGCACAGAGATGCCTGAAATTAATGATTGATATGGGCCTAGAGTTGCATAAAATCATAAGTTTCACTTTTGTTCTCACTTAGTTGCAAGAATGGTAGTACGTGAAGTAGGGGTGTCGATATTATATTTTAGTTAGGGAGGTAGAGGTTGGGTAATAATATAAGCAATTATGTAGGGCCGTGGTTACCCCAGCAGGCACAGGATGTCAAAATGACGTCAGATTGACGTTGTACCCCAACGTTGTGGAATGTTGCATTTTTGTTTGAAAATGAAAATCGGATTGACGTCAGACCCCAACATCAGGCTGATATCAATATCCAACATAAGACATTGCATTTTGGTCACTTTACAATGCAACCTAAAAACAGCAAAATATCAACATCTGATAATGCTACAGCTTGACGTTGTGTAGGCATTACCAATATGACTTCTATCAGACGTTGGATTTTGGTTGCCATGCCTGACAAATAAATATCAGTATTGGACGTATATTACGTTGGTTTAAGATGTTGACTCGACGTTGGATTTTGGTTACTTAAAATCAACCAAACATCTGTAACAGAAATTAGCTCATTTTATGGATATTAATAATCAACAATAACGGTTTATTCTTAATTATTAATATTCCGGTTTAAGCTTCAGTCAATTTGATCAAACAAACATATGATTGTATATAATCCTGCCCGCTCGACCGAGCAGACTCTCAGATTATGAATATTAATTATCAACAATAACAAATTATTATTAATCATTAATATTCTGGATCAATTTATTGCTAATTTGACCAAACAAACGCTCTCACGAGCGGCCACGGCAATGATCTTTTCATTTAGAAAAGGGAATTTAATTGCTACTTCTTGTGAAGTAGATTAATCATTCATAAGTTTTAATCAACTTATAATAGCTAAGGAGGGGAATCTGTATTTCAGTGACATTTTCTCGTGAGGCAAACAATACAATTCATTTGATTATAATGGGATTTATTGACTAGTCAGACAGATAACGAACAAACGTACAAACATAACATTAAACATAGAACAAAGGTAAAACACGTGGAGATATCGGGTCTATAGAACGTGTAACAACAAAGAGAAATAGTAAAGCGAGGAAATATAGATTTCAGATAAAAGAGTGACAAAACTTTCAGTTCCACACGCACCATTAAGGATCACCAAGATTATAAAAAAACACCTTTTTGATAAAAGGGGCACAGCTTAATCGCATAACTAAAAATACCTGGACTTTCATGTCTTTAGGTCTCTCTCTTTATGCTGGTCTCTTCCTGATGAAACTCCTTTGATGTCCTTCTTGATGGGTTGAGTTTGTAATACAGTTCGGACGAACACGATCGCAAACTTTAAACTGAGTTTACTTTGATGGACAATAAGAAAGCGTGGTGGGAAAAGTCCATGCGGCTCAGAAAGCTGCGTGGCCCACCAAGGGGCCACGTTTTGATGGATTCTTTGTTCGGACTACTCTCTGCCCAGATGTTTGGGGAGAAGTCTGGTTATACCTGCGGGTCACGTGACAACCCGTTCAGCATTCTGACCAATGATTTCAGGACAAAGTTTGAGCGCGAAACCTTCCTTTGTCTCGAGGCTGCTCGTATGCAAATTTGAGTGTCCGCCCAAAGCATGCGGACAGGCATTTAATACAGGGATTTAAAGAATAAAGCAATGCGAGTTATGATCTTGCTCTATCCATCATGTGTTGTAAAATGTCAGCAGAAACCCATCGGTACCAAACATGGGGGGTTTAAAAGTAGATCAACATAATTTTTTCCATCCTCACATTATTTATGCTTTAAAAAGGCCTAAAGGGACCACACATACAGGTTATATGAGGGGTTATACAGGTAAGAAAAGTCAGAAATGAGATACAAAGTTTGCAAACATAACATTTTAGTTCTGTGCTGGTCGCTGATTTCTCAGTCAATTTCTCTTTGGACTAGTGTCCTTGTGGGTGTGGGGAGGTACTGTATGTGTGTGCGTGTAAGAAAGGAATGTCTTTGAAGTTCCAGGCTCATCTCTCCAGTCTCCCTGGATAACTTAAGCTGTCACGAAAAACCAGACTTCTTGGAGCCAGGAGTCGTAAAACCCACGCGAAATACTCAGTGATAAAATCAATAAGTAATTTTATCTTTGGACTGTACGCTACACATCAATGTAATTTATCATCAGTGTTGGGAGTAATGCATTACAAAAGTAATGTATTACAGTAATTTATTACATTTTCCTGTAACGCAGTAGTGTAAGGCATTACTTATACATTTTCAGTAATATTTTACTTGGTACATGTTCAGTAACGCGTGCGTTACAACACACTTTTCGCCCGCAAGACATTAACAAATAAAAAATACCGCAGTTCTATTTCCTGTTCGTGGCTAGAGAATATATACGTGTGCTGTCATTAATCTCACTCTGGCTATGGGACCTTTTTACTTTGAACGCGGAATGATTTCAACTTCTGAGCTCAAGGTCCGGGGCTATTGGCTCAGCCCGGTTCGCAGTACGCGCAGCGGAAAATAGATGAAAATGGCATAAGACAGTGCATTCGCGAGACGGACGCAAGTGCATATGGCGTTATTTCACTGACAAATGTCGTAAGCTCATTCATGTAATATGAGCGAGTGAACGTGCCGGTTTCCTCTGTGGACGAAACTCCTCGCGTTAACTTAACACTGGCTGGGCTGCTCACGTGCTAACGACCTGCTCTCGCTCCGTCAGATGATGCAGACTTACAATCTGTGCCTTTTGTTTCCTCTTCCTTTCGTTCTGTTGCTCTCCAGAGATCCTCCTATTTAATTGTTATCCCAATAATGTTTATATGGTTTATATATTGCTACACTATTTACTTACAGGTTAAGATAAATTCTATAATAAATACTAGTGTTTTTGAGTGTAAGGTATACTGCCTATGTTTTAGGTTAGCATTTACAATGAATGCTTAAGCATACTGTCGTATTAAGAATAGTGAACTCATAAAATTAAATATAAAATGTAGTTTTACTACAGTAAAGTGTGGTGAATTGTAGTACAATCTACCCCATATTGTAAAAAAACTACAGCACTGGATCATTTGTTTATATTACACTTGTTGTTTTACCATAGCAACTATAGTATTACCACAACAGAGTAATTAAAGTATTTAATGACAATATGTGTGTTCAGGGGTCCTGTGGAACAGCTTCTTCTCAAAATGAAGATGATGGAAGGGAAAATGTCCTCCACAATCTCATCAACAATGTGGAAGAAAACAGACGCTAGTTCACTTTATTTTAGTTGCCATAAAAACTGTGAGAAGAGTGAATAGTACAGTTGGCTATAATACCTTATCAAGTGTTTCTATTAGTTACATTTCTGCTTGCGTTAGTTTTTATTTTTGTCTAAATGCTTTTTATTTGAAATATCTCATCATATAACATACAGCCAACAATGTTAGGGTTTATTAGATTAAAAATTTTAAGTCTATTTTAGTATTTTGGTTATTGTTAATAAATAGTGTACTAATATAATTAATATCAAAAAGCTTGAAAGGAAGAGGGAACACAAGACACAAATTGTGAGTTTGCATACAATCTCACTGAGAGAGCAATGTACTGAGAGTAAGAAAACTTGTGCGTGAGCAGTGCATATTTGAGAGATCGTGAGAATTTGTGCGCGAGCAGCGTATGTGTGAGCTCGCAAGCAGTTTTGTCCACAAACAGGAAATCGATGCACAAACATTATACTGAGAAAGCTGTTCATCATGCTCACTTTGTGCAGGACGGTTTTGTGTTGTAAACCACTTGAATGTAAAGTAAATACAATAATGACAACAATAAGAAAAGAAACAAAATCTGCATTTTGCCATGGCATTGGAGTTTACATATAGGCCTGTTGTGTTTAATATGAATATAGCCAAGCCATTCACAGATATGACCAGATAATCACTTTAACACTACCATACTTTTAACAGATCATTTGTAATTCTGGCTTTCATCCTTTCTTGCATTGTCTTGAGCCATCACATTGCCAATTATGTTATATATAGTTAGTAGCCTGGAGAGGTCACAGTCATTCTGCTACATCAAATCACTTTCTACTGGATGTAAAATGCTCATTATAGAACATTATAAAATTTTATGTTAAGTTCTAATTCTGTAGTTACTTTGGTGAAAGTAACTAAAAAGTAATGTGACATATTACAATTCTGAGACACTAATATTGTAAGGTAAGGGATTACATTTAAATAACAGTAATAAATAATCTGTAATGTATTACAGTTTGGAAGTAACTTGCACAACACTGTTTACCATAGATATTGGACATCAAAATACCATTGTGTTTAGATGCTGGTGACCTAAATCTAACCTAATGGTAACGTCTTATGGTTGTGTATGTCTGCTGGTAAGCTGTACTAAAGTATTGTGAATAACTAAAGGAAAAGTTATCAGCACTTATACCTTCATCCAGTTATACCAACGACTGAAATAAATATAATTAGAAAAGCAAATATCTTGGAATGTTGCCTTTGTGTGACTACATTGTATTGCAAATTGGAGCAGTTAAATGTTATTGTTAAAAAGTAATTCACAAAATAATTAATAATGCAACAAGTTTTTAACATTATATTGCTATGGTTACACTTGAATTAGTTACAAAATAGATTTAGGAAATTATAAAACATGAAACAGTAAAAAAATATAATTGTACCCAGCATAACTGTAAAAGGTTATGTGAGAGAGAGCGAGAGAGAGAGAAATAAAGCCCAGACAATAGTTAGAATGTTCATTTTATCCCTTGCTTGACCATGTGACTACAACCCGAATCTGAGACATTCAATCTGGTCAATCAACAGGTGTGAGCTACTCCAAGGTGTGATCACACTTCAGAGCCTTAAAATAAACTTATCAGCCTACAGGACTGATCTTTATCAGCACTTTATTGTGCCTTTCGGAATTTGTATTGGCTCTATTAAGCCCTATTTACACTAATGTGATTTAGTTTGAAAACACAAGTTTCGCAATGGTTACGTCATCCGTCCAACGGAGACATCTGAAAACGGAGGTGGTGCTGCAGACATTCACCTATCTGATTGGGGCTAATTCCTCAGTATTAAGTAGCCTACACACACAGTTCAGTCCTGCATCCTCTCCATGTAAATATGATATGTAAAACAAACTCCCGAGTGTACTTTATAAAGTCAATCACATCACCCTTGCTATGCTGTTTCACTGTCTTAACAACAAAATGAAAACATATTTTAATATAAGCAACTTAGCAGACATCAGAAATGCTGAGGCGTCGTGGCAGCATAATATGAGCGTCATCTTCATGCATATTTATAACAAAACAGAGACTATAACATTACTGTCTCATTTTCATTGAAAATTCGAAACATAGCCTCTTTCACCGAATATCAGTTTTAATAATCAGAAATGGCCATTTAAAAAGTATAACGTACAATAAGTTTATACAATAGAGAATCGCTGCAGAACCGGTGTCTGCAGTTACATTAATAAACCTAACTTATACTTGCGCTCAGCCAAAACACGTTACCTGAGAACAAGTAGGCCTAATAGATTCAAAAGACCAAAGTCGGGGAATATGTTGGTACAGTAGATATAAGTGCACAGCTCTCATATGGGTATGTGCTCAAAGAACGCTGCAGCGCATCCCAGAGTATGTGAATGTGTATGTGTGCAGTCACATGATGTGCGTTTTCTCCTTTTTAATGTAGACGGAGAGCTGTTCAGATATGCTTGGTGAAACGTTAGTGTGGACGCTGATTGTTTTCATTCTAAAATGCCGTTTTAAAACTAAAACCCACTAGTGTAAACGGGGCTTTAGTAAGAAAGACACCCAGAAACACCCTAAAAACTCTACAGAACATTGTAGCACTAGATAACAAAAAATCTCAAAACACAGTAGCAACCACTAGAGTCATTCTTAACAACCTACTGATAACACCTTCGCAACAGAAATGAAACATCAAGGGAGCTAATCAGATTTTCTTCTGAAAGAGTACATCTAGTCACGATTTTGAAGTAGTAACAGTAACTGTAGTATCTGTGGTGTATTGGCCGAAACTGTGGTTACCATGGCAATATTTTTTTGTGAAGCGCAAGTATGTAGTGGTCTTAATGCAGCAGAGGCACCTCTATGTTTTTTTCAGTCATTCAAATGCATTTCAGCATTGTGGACAAGCTTTTCCAATTTCATCCTTAATTGTCTCTTTTTTTTGTAGGGTAAGGACTTGTTAACCCAGAAGATCCCGGTGTGGCAGCAGGCCTGTTCAGACCCCAACAAGCTGCCAGACAGGGCCATGATGCTCACCCAGCAGATGACCTCTGGAACGAGCACCCTCCTCTCCAGCCCTCTGCACTCATCCAAGGGGAACCTGGTCATCTCAGATCCCATTCCTGGAGCACAACCGCTGCCCGTGCCCCCCGAACTAGCTGCCTTCATGGGAGGTGGCCTGGGCCAGGGGGTTAGTAAAGAACATTAGCCACCTGTTTAACAATACAAATGACTAACTGTTGTTCAAAGTGTACAAAATAGCAATTGAAGCTTCTTATGTCCTGATGTGAAAACCGCTCATTTGCATACTGCAGCGTTGGCTGAGCGTAGGATGATTCAACCTCTTTAAAACTCGATCCTTCAGGCAGTGCTTTGGTTGAGTGGCCCCTCGCTAGAACAGAACTCTAGTACAATTTTAATACTCACAACAACTGAGCCTCTGCACCTGTAATTTGCTATCACTTTATCGATGCTGCTGCTGCTGCTGGAGTGATACTCATACATCACAGAGCTTGTTTAGGAGTCTGTGGCCTCGTCTGCTAGTTTAAAACCCAGACTTTTGTGTGTCTGGTAGTGATAGACCAATATCAATCTTTTTGATTGCCAGTGTCAATGTCTTAGACAGCTTTGGGGCCAATGGCCAATATATAGCTGATACACTGATGCACCAAAGCAGTACGACCTGTCAGAGATGAAGTGAATACCATTGATCATCTCTCAAAAGACCATGTATTGGAGTAAATTAGGCTGTAAGTAAACAACAAGGAAGGAATAACCTACAATGGGTCATTAAAATAACCCAAGGTGTGTTAATTATTTTAACAAGAGTAAATTGTTCCACTTATACCACACCTAAAACCATCGTTCAGATGTTGTATTTCAAGACATTTATCAGGTGTCTGTCCTCAAACTGGTCTAGTGTGTAGGACTAGTTCTTTCTGTTTTGTTTTGATTTGATATTTGACTTTTGTAGGCTGTTAAATAGCTGAAAGTTTACCATGTAGTGATATAGAACTAAGGCGTTAATGTCAATGTCAATGTCAATTTTATTTACATAGCACTATTTAACACAACCAGAGGTGGACCAATGTGCTGCACAGTACAGATTAAAACAGAGAAAAAAACAAATATGTATATATAAAATAATACAAATAATAGCTAAAACAGACAATTTACAGACAAGTTAAAACCTACTGTACCTGAAACTACTTTTGCTGAAAATAATTGTACACCTCAGAATGTTGAACAATCAGTCAGAAACAATCATTTGCTCCATAGTTAATGTGCTCATAGTCAACATGTTAGGGCTGGGACCAAGTCTAAGTTGGCCTGGTTTGGGTTGTCAGTTAGCATCTGCATGACTATTTGTGTTTGATGTGTTTTACACGCTGCTTGTTGTTGCGTTAATATTGCAAACATTTGCTTTATTGTAGTCTGTGTGTATTTTTTCTTCTGGTCTCTCTTTATTTTTGAACATGACTATTGTGGAGTGGAAAGACACATTCTCTCATTCAGGTACTGTTTTAATTGTTTGGCGTTGGCTTGGTGTTTAAACCCGAAGAGGTCATAAAATTGATCTGTAATAAAGATCTAAACTTTGACAATAGCTAAATACTGTAGTTATGGTAAGACAACTATGTATGAGTATCTCTGATACAGCAGAACATTGAGGTTTTTCCCTGGTCAGCAGTGGTGAGAATTCATCAACAATGGTCTAAAGAGAGACAATCCCCTGACAACAGGTTGTTGGCTGCCCAAGGCTCATCTATTTACAAGGGCAATGATGGCTGTCCCATCTGGTCTGAAGATCTAATGTGGCACTAATCACACAAAATGATAATGATGTTATGGAAGGAAATGTGTCACAACACAGTGCATTGCACTCAGTCGTGTTATGGGGCTGTGTAGCCTCAGACCAATGAGAGTGCCTACGATCCGTCTTTCAGAGGACATGAAGCATAGAAACTGGACCTTAAAGTTATGGAAGAATGCCTCATCCTCAGGATGCACTAACTTGTTGTTATATTGCTGCCATTTACAAACAAATGTATTTTCTCTTTCAAAATGAAAACATTTCCAGCTAAGCCAAACAGGAACATGTAGAAAATAATATTTTAAAAATGTCAAATATTGTTTACATGCTAGTATCTGTAAATGCTATTTTGGTGATCTGTGTTTTTGCAGAGGCTAATGGGTCCTAATGGTATGTCTCTGGTTAATGGGACAACAGGGGTCCATGGAGATGATTACTGGACAGACGGAGTGTCTCAGGGAAGACCACCTTCCCCACAAAATCCATCTCAAACACAGAGCCAGCCCCAGAGACAGGTCAGCGACGTCTATTCCAACACCCTGCCTGTCCGCAGGCCTCAGCCCGCTAAAAACAAGACCACTGTGGGTAAGAAAACAAACTGTTTTGCTTAGCCATCCAACTTCAAGTACAAATGACTTTTTAAACAGTGATTTTAACAAATTGCACTCATATTACTATTTCAATTTCGAGGAGAGACACGAACTTTGCCCAGGTCAAGTTCTATGGCGGCTGGTCTGGAGAAGAACGGACGCTCTCGTGTACAGGCCATTTTCTCCCATGCCGCAGGCGACAACAGCACCCTCCTCAGCTTCACCGAGGGTGACATCATCACCCTTCTGGTGCCAGAGGCTCGGGACGGCTGGCACTATGGAGAGAATGAGAAAAACAAGATGTAAGCACTCAATGTCTACATTATCAACAGCCCTAAATGAAAACAGTATTACAATTTAGAATTTCAAAACTATTTCTTGAAAAAGAAAAAAGATTTCTTGCCGGTTTTGTACTTTTCGTCTCGGGTATATGTCCTGAGGAAAAGATGTTGAATATCTTGACTGTCAAGTCACCTTTATTTTTATATACTTTTTTTTTTATAATAGAGATTTTGTCATAGCAGCATTAAAATTATATTGTTATCCTTAACAGTGAGAGCTAGTCAGAAAAGCAATGGTCATAGTATTGAGCCTTGGAGTACTCCATATTGAACTTGAGGTTGAAGGTCTTCATTTACTGCAACAGATTGATAATTGTCAGATACGTATGATTTGAATCATGTCAGTGCTTTCATAATGATGCTAAAATTATTTTAGAACCTTTTCTTGAACACTGTCTAATATTATCAAACATAGGGCTAAGCTCTAAAGTATATGTCTTAACTAAAGTTTCAAAACAGATCTCAATATCTCGAACTGTGCATGAAGTCTAAGGGTGTACTCACACTACAGTATGTACAGTTGCCTTAAACAATTATAAAGTCCTCGTGCTGTAGGAATTAGGAGGTTTGCTAAAGGTGCAGCATTCATGCAATGAGGTGTTTGTGTCTTTAATAATCTACGACAGTTTGTGTTCATTAAACAGTAAGAATTATTATTAATTCCATATGAAACAGTCCCTTAAAGTCCCGTTCATCTTCAGTTTTGAGAAGGTTTTATATGGATATATGGCCAACTGAATCGTGCCTGAGTCTGATACAGCACTCACACTTCTTAAACAATCCGGGAAATGGGCCTGGGAAATGTTCGGATAGCATATGTGTGAGTATGACCTAAAGTATAAAGCGAAATCGAAGCACTCACTTTGATTCCCCTGGCTCTGCGATTGGTTGGGCAAATTGAACCAAAACAAAACATTACAATTGGCTTAGGATTGGCAATCAAAATCTAGAACATTGCAATTTGCAGAACCTGGGGAAAAAAGTATAAAGTGAACAATTGTCATTTGAAAAAAATGATAATAATCTAAGCTAGTTTTTTTTTTTTTTTTTTTTCTTTATTTTTTTGATGGAAACAAGCTGACAGCCAAATAATGTCTTCTGAGTTTTGAAAGTGCAACTGTTGAGCAATAAATGCTCTTCTGTAAGTGCTTCTGCACTGTGTCATGATGGGTTATTAAGAATAACATGTTTAAATGCAGAGTTCCTCGTGAAGAATCACACTGCCCATAATCCCAGAGAAACAGCCTACTTGGATTTGCCAATGTCACTGTTACCATGGAAATGAGAACCTCACCAAAAAAAAAAAAAAAAAAAAAAAAACGAAAGCTTAACAGCGAGTGTATCTCCCACGAGACATGTTTCCCTACCTTCTCTAATTACATATTTGCATATATTAGAATATTTGGCAATAAACAATGAATCACGGTTAATATGCAGATAGTGAGTCCCATTAGACAGCGATATTTAACAGAGATCAATTTGATTACTAGAGTCTTGATTACTTTAGCTGAACAAGACTTTCAGTTTAATTTCTCTGCTGTTCAGGAGGATAAATTCATCAATAAACTATTTATACTAAGGATATTACACACATATTAAAAAGGTCCTATATTGTACGTTGAGTCCACTTTCATGAATGTGGAATTTGTAAAGAGAATCTCTCTCTCTTTTTTTTTCCCCAGGCGTGGCTGGTTTCCTTTTTCCTACACCCGAGTGCTGCCTGACAGTGATGGCGAAAAGTTAAGAGTCAAGTAAGTGTATGTTTCTGTCCTTATCTATAAAGTTTTTGGCTTCATGTGTTTTTGACTAACGGATTATGATTGTATGTAATGTAGTACAAAAGCCACATATAAATTAACCAAAGATGTACTGGTCATACTGCTGTTTACTAAAAGCACATTGGTCACACTTTACAATAAGGTTCATTAGTTAATGTTTCTTAATCCATTTACTAACATGAACAAACAATGAACAATACATTTACTACAGTATTTGTTCATGTTAGTTAACGTTAGTTAATGAAAATACAGTTGTTCATTGTGAGTTCGTTAACTAACTAATGTTAACAAGCATGAGTTTGGATGTAAATAATGCATTAGTAAATGTTCAATTATGATTAATAAATGCTATACACGTGTTGTTCATGATTATTTCATGTTAGTAAATGCATTAACTAATGAACCTTATTGTAAAGTGTTACCAGCACATTTGGAAGTTTTATGGAATGCATTGTGCTAATGCAAATCCATTTTTTGTCATGGGATACATGTAATGAGGTTACACTGAAAGGAAAATTCTATTTTATCTACTGATCAGTGGGCTGCAGATTTGAGCTCTTTCTTTTTTTCTTTTCCCTTTGGTGGTTTGAAGGACAATAGATATTGTGTTTTGCACATTTGTTAAATTTCCTTTATTTAATCAACAATCTCTGATTATTAATGAAATTGTTTCACTGGAATGTGGTTGAAATATTGTTTGGCTCATTTTTCTGCTCAAAGAATTTTACACCCTTGCCAAAATTAACCATGTTTTTTTTTTTTGTGCATTGATAACCATTTGTATAACCACAGGTTAAATACAAATGTCATCGTTAAACTATGGTTACTTTAGCAAAACCCTGGTTAATTTGTTACTGGATTGTTACTACTACTGTAGTTTGTAGTTACTAGTTTGTAGTTACTACCAGTTTGTAATGTTTTTGGACTAAAATCATGGTTGATTTTCGTAAGGGCACCTTTCTTCCTGTTTCTTCACTTTTAATCACTAACACCCTTTACTACTGTTCAAAAAGAAAGGAAACATTCAATTACTAAAAACACTAATTAATGATTTCCATGATCACAAAATCATTACCACAACCTAACGTGTTACACACAACTATTCAAAAGTTAATAATAAATTCAACATTTCAAAACATGTTTTAAAGAAGTCAGTTATGTTTCACTTAATACATTTGCAGAAACCAGAATACATATCACCATTTGCTCTCCCTCAAGTGCTCTCCAAACCTTGAATTTCTTTCTTTTTTTCTGTTGAACACAAAAGATATTTTGAAGAATGCTGGTAACTATTGGCATCTACAGTAAGAATAAAGGACTACTAGTTTCTATCATTGTTTAAAATGTTTTACTTTTTGTGAGAATCACAAAGTGAGGAACTACATTTAGAATAAGTGCAGGTTGAATAAATTACTAAATAGACTTAAGCTTTTATAATTGTCATTGTGAGTTTAGTTAAATAAACTTAAGTTAATTATCAGAGCCTTATTGCACAGTGATAAATGATTGACCAAATGTGGTTTCTTTATTGAATTAACTTAAATGTTTCTGTACAGATAACTTTAAAACAATAGCAGTTATAATCTTTGCTTCCATTAAATAATTTATAAATCATCAAAACAAGTTAATTTTTTATTTTTTATTTTTTTTTCTCCATAAACCACTTTATTAGGCTTATACTGCATTTACATTACAATGCTTATAAAAGTTAGTTTCTATTTGGAACAGCAAGCTCACGTTGTATTAAAAGACATGAACAACAATATAATGAGCTTAATTTTAACAGTAAACACTCATTTTTGTCTTTAAGTTCACAAGTTTCAGCTCAATTCCTCACAATATTATTATCTCTTTAAAATTGCCTCTTTTAGGATATGATCCAAATTAGGTTCTGTCACTTTAAATTCATATGAGCTTGAGCTCCCCACCCTCTTTTTGAAAGAGGGTATGGCTATAAAAACTTATGCAAATAGGACTAACGTATCATTATCCCTGTGAAAAACTGAAAATGTTTAAAGATGTTGCTTAGAGGAAGAGTCTGGAGTCTGTGGTTTTCGTTTGTGAATCTTAAAAGTCCACATTTAACATCCTCTTAGTTGCTGACGTTATTTTCAGCAGAAATAGAATTAGAAGTCTAATGAATAGGCATGCAATGATAAATGGTTTAACGGTTTAGCGTGGTTTGAAAAAGTCAAGGTTTTAAAACTGCGAAAATGGTCTGTTATACCCTTCCTAAGGCATATTCAAGGATTGTGTTTTGGAAACCAATAAAGATAGCAGAGGTCAATGATTTTATTTTAATTATTTATCCTGACCTGTTTACTGTTTCAAAATATTATACCTTTTTCCTAAAATAAAATATATTGTGTTCAATGGATAAAAAAAAAGTTGTTGTTTTTTACCCAGACATTTAAAAAGAACTCATTTTAGAGAAGTAATCACAATACCGTGATACTGTAAAACTGTATAACCATTTATCCAAGGTGCATACTGTCAGAATATTATCAGCCCAGCCCTATCGTGGACAGCTGCTTCTCAGCCAAGGCTGTTTATGCTAATGAGGGAATGATCATCAATAATGGGCGGGGCTTCCCCCTCTCTGATAACATGTACAAAAGGAGAATGTCAATCAGAGTGTTTCTGCAGACTCCTTTTTTTTTTTTTTTTTTTTTTTGGAGTGTGATTACAAAAAATAGAGTTAATAAATGTTTACCATAAGAGGCTGTCTATATTTACACACTTTTGCCACATAACTGTGCTTAAACCTCTGATAAAAGTGATTTTTGCATAATGAGACCCCTTTAGTAAGCAAAATTGCTAATGTTTGAACTATTACGCTAACCAGTTAAGCAGTTGGCACTGTTATCAACAAGGCTGCAAAAATAGTTTAAATTTTCAGTAAAGTGTTTATGATATCAATATTGTGCATGTTTATAATCATCCCAATATATGATCAATATGGTATTAAGTCTTATTGGTTGCATTAAAATAGATGTGTAAAAGCAATTGAGTGAAATGCTATGGGGATGTGAAGCACATGTTAATGGCAGGGTGTAAAAATGACTGACTGACTGACCTTCGTCCTGTAGTCTTCACCATGGGAAGAGCAGCAGCACAGGAAACCTGCTGGAGCGGGAGGACATGTCCTTGCCCATGCCTGACTATGGGTTGACTGCCCGACTGTTGGCACAGAGCCTTACACAGAGCCGACAGCGTCCCTACAGCATGGCAGGCTTTGCACAGGTACACACACAAACTAGCACACACAAACTAGCATTAGACAGGTATCTCTCATTGATGTCTCCTTTCTTAGGACTTTTATTCTGTAATTCTCTTTTAACTCTGCTCAAAGCGTAATCTATATGTCAGCTCTTCTTTAATCTGTGCTGTAGCAGCTTACTGACTCAATCTGCTGGTGTGGCTCTTTCTAAAAACGCATGATTTTCTTATTTAACGGAGAGTTCGCTTTGAAATGAAAAGTTCTGTCATCATTCACTCACACTAATAATGTTTGAAATGATGGTTCTGCTGGGCATAAAAGCTGTTATGGGAATATCAGAGCTTTACTTTACAGTGTGGTGAAAGCAGGGTTAAATACTGTAGTGTATCATAAACAAACAAACAAAAACAAAACAAAAAAAACAGCATGGAAGTGATTTATATAATTTGTGGAGCTTTTTCACAGCCCGTCAAATCTCAATTATGTCTGTGTATTAATGTCACATTTGGTTCGACACATTTGAATATATTAATTTTTCAGCACGCATACTCATGTTGTTGAGTTAAAAAACAACTTGAATTTGTTTTCACAAATATTAGGATTACCAGGGCATAGATTGATAATCAAAATGCTTTAATGCATATGGCATTTTCATTAATGAATGAATGAATGATCAAATAAAAAAGGTCTTTAAAACAGTTCATGGATTTGTGAAAACAAGCTAAAGCTGCCTATTTGCTTTTGTTTGATATTGGGATGCAAAATGAGCATTATAGATTGATCCGTTAATATGTTCGTCCTTGTGTAAGAAAAACCCATCAAGATCTGTAGCTATAGGCAGCTCTAACAGATTCTTAAAAAAAGATTCCTGCTGCTTGTTTTAACTACTTATTTAAATTGAGCTAAATAAACCTAACTATTGAGGTTTTTATGCGACAACTGAATTGTTTAATGTTCATTCTACTTGCATGAACTCTACTTTTGTTATATTTTTATGTATGATATTTTTATTTGAATAAATAAATAAATAAATAAATAAATAAATAAATAAATAAATAAATAAATAAATAAATAAAATCAAAACAATTAAGTTAACTTGAAGGACAACATAATGGAATTGTGTGGAACCCAGCATTTTTTTACTATGTAAAGATCCAATTTATATTGTTGAACATTATTGTCATATAATTCATACAAATTATAAATAATTAATTTTCTAATAATTAAAAAATAATTTAAAAAATCAAATAAATAAAATATCAACATAATAATCATACATTTTCTTTTTTGGCTTAGTCCATTTATTAATCTGGGGTCACCAACTTATCCAGCATGTTTTTACGCGGCGGATGCCCTTCCAGCTGCAACCCATCACTAGGAAACATCCATGCACACTCATTCACACACGTACACTACAAACTATTTAGCTTACCCAATTCACCTGTACCGCATGTCTTTGGACTCGTGGGGTAAACAGGAGCACCCGTAGGAACCCACACAAATGCAAACTGACCCAGCCGTGCCTCAAACCAGCGACCTTTTTGTTGTGAGGTGACAGCACCTCCATCTACTTTGCCACCGTGTTGCCCAACTTAATAATATTAAATAATAATAATATGTAAACAATATTATTTAAACAATATTTTGTTTCTGTTAAGTGATATTTTGGGATTTCTTTTTTTATTTATTTATTTTATCATTCATTTACAGCTAAATTATATTTATTTATTAATCATATTTTATTATATTTTGTACAATGTTAACATTTGTAATTTGTATAATTGTTAATTATGTGCATTTCTTACTAATTAGTTTCTTTTATAATAATTTCTGCGTATTAATCTTCATTATCATTAATATATTTAGATTTGTTAGTTTATATACCAACATTTTTTTTTTTTTAATTCATTCATATCTTTTGCCTGGTTTGTAAACCCGTGGGTAATTAGCAGTGCCCACCAAACATTTATTATTTCCTATTTTTATTTTTTTTATAATACGTACAACATATTAGACATGTATTAACACGTAATACATGCAACAAACTGGAATAATGATACATGGTTATCAGTTCTTAATAAAACTGAACGCACTTTTAGCGCCCCTCAGTGGACATTTCATACCATTACATGCTTGTTTTCCACATCCTGTGAATAGTCTCATTTCCTTTTATTCACATTTTGGAAACAGCAAAAATAAAGAAGGAAAAACGACACGCAGAGCTATTTTATCACTTCAAAAGTGTTTTTATGGGGCAACAGCTCCTGTTAGCATTATGCTTTCACTGTAAGTAAATAGAAAAGCAATAGAAAGCAATAGAAAATTGAAAAGCAAATCCCTCCATTTGGAGCAAAATGTAAGTGAGCAAATGATGAAAGACTTCATTTTTGTGTCTGAATTGTTCCTTTAATACACTGTGTTGATGCAGCCATGGTTATGTTCCTTCTAAGCTGTAAATAAGCTTTCAAACCGTTCTGAAATGTTGTTTTTACGAATTCCAGCCAGCGCTAGAGGATTATGACAGTCAGTTTGCCACAAGGTAAGATCGGCTCTTAATGAACAGAAATGACAATGAATCAGTCTTAGGAATTTATCCCCCAAAAAACTAAAATCTGTCCTGCTAACTATACCTATCTTAGTCAATAGTAGTAAATATATGTGTTTATTTCCCTTTCTTAGCTCTTGCTTGCTTATGCTAAGTGTGCAATGTAGTGCTGATATTTGTTGGGAGACCAAGCCTGTTTTCTCAGAGAATTGTAAATTGATTGACAAGAGAAGGTTGTGTGTCTGTGTGTTCTCGTGAGTGGAGTGAATGAGCTGTTGAACTGTGGGATGCATCCTTGTTGACCTCACTGTATCATCTCTGTATATCTGTGTGTGATCCATTAAGGTCAGGATCAGAGCTGTTCATAGTCTGTGCCTATGGCCCATCGTCTATAAGAGCCTCTAGATTAATCCATATAAGAAATGATTCGGGTTCAAAACTGTACTGGCAGCAGGATACAGTTTTATCATTCCTCAGTTCAATAATAATAATAATAATAATAATAATAATAATAATAATAGTAATAGTAATAATAAAATAAATAATAATAATTAAAAAAAACACAAGCGCTGTGTGCAGTAATGCTTTATGTACAATGAATACGTGCTTATTAGAAAGGTTTGAAAGTAGAATTGTGGAGTTGCTTCGTTCAAAGTTAATGCATTACAATTAAAGCAGAGTTGGTAAACTTAAGGCTGACTAAATATTAGTTTATTTTGAAAGATAAAAACAAATGACTAATGTTTAAAATGTATAAACTATTTATACAGTAGTTATATGCATTAATCTAAGGTTTTCTTTAAAACCTAGGCCACTCAAGATGCTCAGTACCTGGTTTAACAATTTACTGTACCTGTGGCTTGTGATGACATATTATGATGCAAATCTTTTGGTCAGTGCAAAAAAAATGTAACATTATTTTAAACAATATTATTTCTCCACTGCCTCAGGAAAAGGGATGATTCTTTGATACAAAGTGTTTTTTTTTTTCTGCCAATTTGTTTATGGTTTAATATAACAGATTTTTACATAATCACATAATGATTTATTCACATAACGAAGTTATAATCAATGGTGATGTAAAACATTTTACTTGTCTAGAACATATAAAGTGTATAAATTAACGTTCTTCAACTTACCATTTTACATAAACCTTAAGTCATTAATTAACTTTAAGCCATTAATACCAGGGTATCTGCAAGGTCTTAAAATGTCTTAACTTTCAAAAACAAAATTGTAGGCCTTAAAGTGTCTTACATTGAGTCAAATATTGACTTGTAGTTCTTAAATCATTTTAAAAGGTCTTATTTTTTCTTTATGTAATGCTACTCAGTCAATGTAACACAATGAAAATATATAAAACTTTTAGACAAACTTTATTTATAACTATTATTTAGTGCTAGTGCATTTTTTTTAGAAAAATGTATGTATACAACTTGGCTCTGCTTTGTTTCGACACCTTATTTTAAGTATGTGGCAAATAAATAACTAATTAGATTTATTTATTTAATTTAATTTGTTTATTTATTGATTGATGGGGCCATTAAAAGAAATCCTTAGCATTTTGCTCTATATAGAGTAAATAAAGTCTAAAATTGCATTCTTCATGGTCTTATAAAGGTCTTAAAAAGTCTTAAATTTGACTTGGTGAGGACTGGAGAAACCCTGAACACGTTTCATTTAGCCCCTTCATTCAAGTAATAATTTTAAACATGCAAAAATGTTCAGTTTCTTGCATTGACCTATCAATTTGCTTTACAACATCCTCAGTATATCATCATAAGCCTGGATATGTTTTATCACTCTCAATATGCCACTGACCAGTTACAACTAAAGTAAACAGCAAATTTAGATTTTTGGTTGAATTATCCCTTTAATGTATGATGTTTCGTGGTGTTATATATATATTTTTTAATGTCATTGAAATTGTGAAAAGGACATTGTAAGCACTTTACTGTAAACAATATCTAAAAAATGAGTCAAAATGTTGCAAATAATAATTTATTTAGCTATATATTTTCAGGAGGAATTAAGTTTAAGATTAATCTGCACCTGACCTTTTAACCAATATAGATCCCTAGTCAATATGTTGTCAGTCATTTGTAGTTTGACAGGTTGAAGTGTAAGCCCCGCCCCTTCCAGCCTTCACCCCCGCCCATTTGTGGCTGTCTTGTCTTTTCTTCATTTCTCTCTGAATGTGTCCGACCTGGCAAGCTTCCTTCTCTCTTTGTTCCACAGTTCCGATGGCAAATTGATTTCGACAGTGTGAACACAGACAGACTATCAGACACAGATCCGGATAGCACAGGGGCCACGCCCCTTCTTCCCTTAGCCCCTTCCCCTCTTAAGCTCTGCCTCCACACACTCCTCCTCCAATGGAAGGGGCCAGTCTCATCCCTCCTTTCTGTCCTCTCTTCCTCCCTGCGTCTTGCTGGGGCGATAGTGGCGGTCGCGTGTGGTGGGTCGGGGGGGAACTCTGAGAAGAACGACCCGAACGCAGTCCAACTGCTCGCCTCGCTGCTTTACGGACTCTGATTCGCCTGTAGTGACGCCGCTATGACATCGCTGTGGACTCCAAAGAGACTGCTTACCACTTCCCGTCTTTCATGCATGAGCACAAGTTTTGCTATGTGGTTGTTTTTTTTAAAAAAAGATGACATCCTCATGTAAAAGTGCCAAAAGAGAAGCAAATTTGGTATTTTGGAGCAGCATCTCCTCATTCCGAAGCTCTTGCTGAGTGTGTGTGTGTTTTTCTAAGCAGATGTGATGGGAGCCTCATGCCAAAATGAGGAATGTTCTGTTTTTTTATTCTTATCTGTGGTTTAGTTGTGCAGAGTGTACTCTCTCTGTGTGAGCCTTTCCGTTTTGTGAATCCCTCATGTATTATCTGGTGCTCCTCTGGTCCAGAGGCTGTGTCGCTTTGTGCCGCTAACAAACAGCAGCAGCAGCTTAGATTTTCCTCAGATTTGCCAACGCAATTGTAACGATTGGAAGGAAAATCACTATTTTCACTCATTATACAAGTGCCAAATGAGAGCTGACCTACCGAAGTAGAGTGAAGGTCGCATGAGCTTCAAACACTCGGGTGGGACGGTGCTGTTCACCTAACCGGCACACGTCCATCACCCTACATGCATGAAAGAAAAGTGCTCTGAGCAGAAACCTTTCCCCACTTCCCCCCCTCCAAAAAAATCCCATTATCCTGCCTCAGACACCTTAAAGTATGGGATCAGAATAGTATTTAAATCAATATTCGACAGTGTGATTCACAAATGCGTGACTTTATTCACAAAATGAGCTGTGTCAAAACTGATCAATCTTAAGATATATTCACATTGCGCTTAATCACAATTTATTGTTGTTCTTTTAACTTAAGTAAAGAAACATTTATGTACTTGTCACTAAGAAGTGGAGTTAGGACTTAATTGTACCTGTTTTAACATTTGAAGAGCATCTGACGTGAAATAGCAACAGAAAACAGTCGGAATAAAAAAATTGCTTTAAGGCTTGTACACACAGAGGAGATATCTGTAACAGTAATGAAAATTATAAAGTTTTAAATATTATTCTTAATATGAGACAACAGCACGGTTATAGATAGAATATACAATATAAAGAAACACAACATAGTTGAAGTCACTTGCATCTTTGATTCGAAAACACTGACTGGCTGTCATAATTAAATTAAATATAAAGGGCATCCATTTTTTGTACCCTCTAAATAAGTGATGAAAAGGATTAATAGAGGTGATATAGTTATGCCAGAAATGTCATTTTAGCATGACTTTTATTTTTATAATCTTTTTGAACTGTGAATTTGCCATCTTCACCCCTCACTTCCTGTTTAAGAGGAAGTAGGCCATGTTAAGTCAGAGATTTTATGGAAAATGTCTGTATTACCTATCATTTGACTACCTGGAATGCTAACTTGGTCAAATGAAGCACATGTGAGCCAGTCACATAGCAGCTTTTAGTCTACTACCCTGCACTTATTTTTATTGAAAATACAAAATCCATATACAACAAAATGACATTCAACTTTACAAATTATGTATCACACAAGAAAAGCTCAACACAAAATATTATACAAAAATGCACATTTTAAATAAGAAAAAAAACTATCCAAACTAAAATAAAATTAAGAGCGAAAAAAAGTAGTTATTTTATATAAACACTGTGTAGTGGAGGTGTTTTGAAATATCTGCCTTTATGAATATTTGGCTAATGCAATGATAACATTTATCAAATAATGTAAAACTGAACAATCTTTAGTAATTCCATGTAGTACATCTTGTAATGTGAAAGTCAAACCTTTAGCATCCACATTATTTTTTATCTTGCACTGTTTGCCAAAAGGATTGAATGGAGCTGCAAGTAAAAACAAAAGTGTTCTGTGTCAAATAAGTGTTTGCATAAATGGCATGGTGAATTTTCAAAATAAAAATTTAAGCGTAAAAATCTATTGGAATCTTATATATCACCTAATGTTTTAAATTGTACTTCTTTTACCTTGGGGTCTCCTACCCTGCATACTACCATAGAAGCAGCATTAGCTGTTATCCATTTTAGGCTAATGATTTCAGACTTAAAATGTGCACTATGCAGCTTATAAAACATAAAATTATTTCAAACTATTCATTAGTATCAATATTTTGTCTTTAAAAATGCTTAATTTTAGTCCAATACACTGACTTCATTCACTCTTAGATGTGTTTAAAAAAATAACACATTGAGTTCAACAACTAGTTAGGGCCTTGTAAACAAGCAAGAACAGCACAGTCTGACTTGAATTCTCCTCATGACTAAACCTATTTTTCAGTTTGTCTCTAATTACAAAGTGTACAGGAGTAGTAGGTCATGTACTGTACATCAACTTTAAGTGCTTTAAAATGCAGCACGCACGCTTAGAATAATATGTTCTTATCATTTGCTGGTGTGGACTAAAGTTTTATGTTCTTGTGTGAATGAGCCTAAAACAAAATAAGTGTTTTATTATTTGCTAACACTTAAGTTAAAGTACCAATTCCTTCTATTAATTACTGACTAATTATCTGTTCATTATTAAGATATTGGATGCTTATTAGTAATCATAAAGTGTGTTATTCTACTTAAGTAGGACTATCCCCTCTACCTTATTAACTATTAATAAAAACAAATTAGTATAGGGCTGCACAGTATTGAAAATATCTGACATTGTGATATTTATATTGCAATATGAATACCATTTCAGCAGATGACTTAAATAGCTCTATTAGGAATAAAATCATTACCTTGGAATAATCTTGTGGACAAGTGAGTAAAAGAAATTTGATAATGATAACGATAGATCACAATATCAGCAATATATCACAAGAAACCCATCCACGATATATCATGATATTTGTAAATGAGCAGGGGAAAATGCATCAAAATATGCATTTCTTTCATTAACAGCACATATATTTCTTAGAATTGCAACATTGATAATTGTTCGATCTGCCATTACGAGAAGTGCCACCTCATGCATATCACTATTTTGCCCTGCCCCTATTATTGAATAATCAAATGTAATGTAAAGTGTAAACACTGTACCATTCTTCAATGCTGATCAACAATAATCTAACTCCACATTTTAGATGTGAATCTGACTATTGCAAATGCATACATTGCAGTATCGTTGCTGAAATGATATATTGTGCAGCTGTACATTAGTATTTTATTGAGTTAAATTTATTTGTTAATAGTAAGAATTGTACCTTAAAATAAGGTATGACCATTAATTTTATTAACAAGTATGTGCCCTTGAGTCAGTATAGTGAGAGTTTGTAATGATATGTTTGTTTTATTTTTGTGAATATTGATTAGGTTACACGTTTATGCATCACATTTGGCGAATAAATTCATTTTAGTCTATTCTGAGCCCATATCAAAGCGCCACCAGCCCATGTCTCTAAAAACATTCCCATTGTAGTGTGTTTCCATGCAGTTTTAGGATGATGACTGACAGATCCTCTGGAGCTGTGGTGTGCTCCTCGCTGTGTTGATGTTCTTTTTGTTTCTTCTTTTCTTTTTTCTTTTCTTTGTTTTTTCCTTGGGAAATAGACAAACTAGGAAAAATGCACAAGAAATCGGTGTAACAATCACATTATGCATGCTGAGGAGGAACATAGTGAACATTGACCTTGAATGTATGGTGACTTTTTACGAATAAAAGAATAAATAAATATCTATATATTAATAAAACATTTGTTCAAATGAGCTTTTGATGATTTTCAATTTGTCATCTTTCAATTTGCACTTCATTGGGAGCTGCACACCTACAGTACAACTCGGCAGAAAAGCATTATTGTGATTTTTTTTTATTATTCATATTTTATGAGTTTATTTTATAGATTATCTCTATATATTTATTATTTTGAATTTTATACATGATATTTGTATAAAAGGAACATTTCACTTTAAGAAATAGGCCCATTTCACAACTCTCCCTGGGGTAAAACTATTGAGTTTTGGCAATTTTGAATTCATTCAGCCAATATTCAATTCTAACATGAGCAATTTTAGCTTAGCTTAACAAAGATCATTGAATTAGATTAGACTAAAAGAATTTGCTTGACTGTTCTGTAGTTATTTTGTGTACAAAGACTAAGTGTACACTTTGGTCATATTGACAGACGTTACAAGATTTTTAGGCTCTGTGTAATGTCATTGCACCTGTCGCAGCCATGGTACGGCAGCAAAGTTCCTTAATTATTACACTGAAATGAGAGTATAGTTCCTAGCCCTATTGACCTAGAGATGAGCAACTTCACATTCCCCATGGCTCTTCATACACAATGTATTTTCAGAAGAGTCGAGCTTTAAATATGAAAATTATTGAAACTCTTCAATAGTTTTTGAGGGAGATTCTAATGGTCTAATCTGATTCAATTGTTTATGCTAAGCTAAACATGCTCCTGCTAGACTAGGAGATAATCTGAATGGATTCAAAAATTGTTAAACTCAACTGTTAAACTCTGCCTATTGAAAACATGAGCCTGTTTCCCTCCCAGAAAAGTGGGGTGTTCTTTTAACAAACCAAAATAAGTAGATTAAACTATTTTAGGCCATTTGTTAAATAAAGTAATCATTCAGTTCTTTGATTTTTTCACTAGCACCCACATACTGGACCAGTTTATCCTCAATTAAACTAAATTTGCCATTCTTTGAAAGCAACTATTAATGAACATTTCACGAACCTGAAGAGCACACAGTCCTAGCGTATTTTGTTTGTGTTTTTGTGCATCATGATGTTGTGTCTGTATGAATCTGTGACCTGTCTGTGTTTCTGTGGCTGTGCTTGCCTGCTCGCCTTGGTTTCTTCTATTGTATTTTAGTTCTTAAGATCTGATCTATATAAGATGTGTAGTTTTCCAAGCATGCTTTTTTTTTGTTGAAAAACTGTGAAGAATTTGATATTTAAATGTGCTCTTCAAGAGTTCATCGTTCTCCATACACATCTCTCTTTACTAATCGGACCTCCAAAGCAAACTGCTATGGGCAGACCTTTCATTTTGTTTGCACTATATTTTAAACCCATGTCATTCTCTAGAAGTACGTTATTCGCTCATCTACGAACTGTGACGTCATCCATGACCAGTCGCCAAAAGCGCCAGTAACCTACAGTACGGCCATCGTACGCAACACTAACAAGTCATGTGAATGCAGTGGAAATGTAGCCATGCATAGCCTCGGTCTCAGGTACAAACCCCTGGACTCTCTTTACCTTCCAGTTTGGGTCCTGAATTGTCCCGGTTCTGAGTGTTGCAGGACCTCCGTAAGTCACCTGCCTCCATCGCTGCTTAGCCAAAACCAGTCATGGCTTTTTTTATTATTATTTTCCTTTGTTTTTGGTTTCTTTTTGGTTTCTGATTCTCATTTGCTTCTCGGCTTAAACTGGGCGACAGTTTCGTCTCATGCCGCCACCTGCCTCTCCGGTTGGTTCTTGGCTTTTTGTTTGTGTGTGTGTGTTAGGGCTGTGCAATATGGCGATATATATAGTATGGACGTAATAAGTATATTTTAAAATGTTTTATTATTTTTTTTTTTTATGTTGGACGTAATCATTCGTTTTATTTTATATATCATATCGTTGGAATATCTAGCCAATTCCATGTGTGTTCAATAAAAAAGTTCAGGAGAGGGTTTCTTTAATATCAAAAATATTAGTTATTTATTAGATACAAATTTAGCAATTCTTTCTAAGTATGCAACACAGTAAGAAAGTAGTAGTATGTTTGGTTAGTATATGGTATCAAAAGAAAAAGATTGATTAACCTGTTTTTAGTCTGAACTTTATTTTCTAATAAAAAATAGACACAATAGCAATAAAAATACATTTATTTTTCCCCACTATATGCATAGATGTTATATTTTACATTATACATTTAACTATAAATATAAACTGTAAAATGTAAACAAAGAAAGTCCTTTAAAATAAATATAAATTATTGATTAAGGATAGAAATGGTACTATATTGTATGTATGTAGCAGTGCGATATGGCTGTGTCTCGACACTACTGGGAGCCGTGCGTTGGCTCGAGTCCGCAGACTGAGTGCCTTAGTGTCCTTGCAGTGCCGATATATAGTCGTATTACACTGCTACGAGAGTGATATTACATTTACACCACAGTTTGATGGCAGAATCCTTTATATAAAAAAGTAAATCAAACATACAGTCTTAAAAATAATCAGCTGATCGTTGGTAACAGCAGAAATCTTTGCTAATTCATAAACATCACTTTAGAATTTAGGTCTCAAACTCGATTCCTAGAGGGCCACAGCTCTGCACAGTTTGCTCTAACCTCAGTCAAACACAGCTGATCCAATTAATCAAGCTGTGCAAGACTTAAGCAGGTGTTAGCTGGAGGTGGTTGGAGCTAAACTATGCAGAGCTGTGGCCCTGCCAGGAACTTTTTAGACCATTGCTTCAACTAAGATTTGAATGATTCTCTAGCTTAATGTCTGTCTAAAGTGATGATGAAACAGGTGATTGTGCTCACATTTTAACATTAAAAGGGCTGAACGACTTGAATTGCCATCAGTCTACAGAGATTTTCCAGTGCTTCTCTGTATAAATAGGCAGATCACAATAGTTAACCCTGATAAAGCCAAAGCAAATCAAACACTAGCAGATTACTATGATATAAATACATCACTACAAAATAAAAAGAGAAAGATTGACTTAGAATGTCACTTATCTGATTTATAATGATTTGATCAGCTGTAGTTTAAAAATTAAAAATATATATGTATGTATGTATATATATATATATATATATATATATATATATATATATATATATATATATATATATATATATAAATTATTATTATTATCGCCCAGCGTGTGTGTGTGTGTGTGTGTGTGTGTGTGTGTGTGTGTGTGTGTGTGTGTGTGTGTGTGTGAGAGTGTGAGAGTGTGTGTGTGAGAGTGAGAGTGAGAGAGAGCTGTAGTACGTACCAACCCGAGAGGTCATAGGTTGCCAGGAAATGGTGTTGGCGCTGGAGGTAACCACCTAACTCTTGCATGCCTCTTTCACTGCTGAGAGAAGTAACAGTGTCTTGTTTTCCATTTGCATGCCTTTGCTCTAAACACCCTTCATAGACTCCTGTTCATAAGTACATGTCAAATTGAACCACAGTATGATTTCCCAACTCAGAGTGCAGTAGAGTTGTAAGTTGCTTATTTTTAGTGGGTCACCAGCACGGGCTGCATTTAGGGCGTACTGACCGTGTTTGTTCTTCCACCTCCTCTCCCATCTAGTGACCGTGCCCTGGAGCTCTACCTCAGGCCGAGCCTCATGGATGACCGATCCGCTCCTCTCTACTACTAGAGCGGCCAGCTGCGCTGTGGCCTGTGCGCTTTATCACCCTCTTCTGTTCTGGCTGTGTCATTGCAAGGAGGCAAAGCACATGCATTAACCCAAGGGCACGGAGCTTGTCGTGTCTTGAAAAAAAAAAAAAGGATTAGATAATTCTGTAGCCACATAATTATCGCCATTTGTAATCACCAATTAACGTATTTCAGAATTTTTTTTTTTTTGTTCTCAATCGAACTGATGATGATGATGATGGTATTTGGAAAAAGTATGTGTGATTGTTTAAAAATGAGATCTTTTACTCAGAATGAATGTGAACATGTAAGAGTAAGTATTTTCATAGATGTTATTTCTATATGTTAACAGTTTATAAGTAAAAGCCTCTAAGTGCCGTCTGAATTATTTTTTCCATAAAAGTGAATTTACTAACCAACACACAGGTGGCTCAGAAAAATGCTCATTTCAGATGGCATTTAGAGGTTTTTGCATATAAACTCTTCCAATGCAGTTCTATAGGGAAGCCTTTCTTTTTGTGTGTCGGTTTTCTGCCGATAAAGCCTCTTTTCGCAAGGGTTTTTGATACTGTGGTCGCTCCGTATTAAACTGACCGCTGTGCTTTGCTCAAGTTCTAGCTTATTCTCTGTTTACACAGAGAGTCTGTACAGTATAGATGCAATATATAGTCATGCGAACAGCACTGACACAGGATCTGTGCCTTTTCCTGTTGTTTTGTGCTTTGAGTATCCGTATCTTCACTGGTGTAAGTAGAGGGATTGCTTTTATGTGATATTTGTTTCTTCTTTTATTTTTTTACTATCATTTGATTTTATTGTTTGCTTTAATTTTAGCAATTTTAATGACTGTTATAGATATTAAGGGGGTTTTTTTGGTCACTTGCTGCTTTTGCTTTTCCGCAACCTGAGCAAGACTGCTTATTAAATATGAACAATAGATTTGCTGAATAATAGTTAGCTTATTAAAATGGCCGATTCTGTACATATAACTTTGGTTTTGTGTTTTGCTTTAAGTACTGAATTATTTTGAAGCAGTTATCCTTGTGTTTATGTATCTGAAATGACTTTGTTACAGGACATACAAAAATCAGGTAGTTTAGATGCTGATACGAATTGCATGTTTTATAATAGGGCGCCTTTTATGGATTGATTGTGGAGATGATGGTGGGAATGTTGTGCTATTTCTTTGAGGGAGCGAGCTTCAAAAACACATTTTATATAATGTTTTTGTTTTTTTGGCTTTTCTGTTTATTCTTATTTATGGAGAACTGCAAATGTATGTGCACATTCTTGTATTTTCTGAAATAAAAAAGAACATGTAAAAAAAATAATTAAAACAACTATATGATCACAAACACACTTAAAGTAGAGTCTAAAAGACAG